CTAGTCGAGGTTCAGTATTTTAGTTTTTTTATATATTTATTAAAATAAAAAATTATATAAATTATAAAAAAATTCATAAATCTGTTGATCACTTTGGACCGTCCAAATTTAATATAACAAAAATTTATAAATTTTAATATTAAATTCAAATTGTCTAGAACATATTTGAATAATTAATTTATAAAAATTATAAATTTTTAATATTAAATTTGGACTATATATTAAATCTAGACTATCTAAACTTGTGAATACATTTATTAAAAATTTTTATAATTTTTTATTTTAATAAATAAAAAGTAAACACAAAAAAAAAAATTAAATCTAGATGGTTGAGATTTATCCTCCTGTAAAGGAAGACACAACGGAGATTTTCATGGGAGGAGGGACCAAGTCCCTTGTGAACACCGGCCAAGACGAGGGATTTGACATAAGTAAGGACTTGAATATTTTAATTTGACTCTTATACGTAAAATAATGTTGAGAATAACTAGCGTTGAGACTTGAGAAAGCTAACCTATCTTCTATCTTAAATTTAATTTTTATGGTTCTTTACAATAAATTTTAACAATATTGGATCCCTCTCCCTAATTTCCCTAGTTATTAACTAAAATTGAAAATCATTATACAGATTAATCTAACATTGACATATTCAATAGTCAACCATAATGATAGATATTGAACATGGCAGAGAATTTTGAATTAGGAAGAGTCAGTTCAAAGGTAAGAAAAAGGGCGAGAAATGAAGAAATTATTAATATTTTATATAAATGGATGCATGCAAGTCCATTATGCTGTCTTCAATTGTTGTCGTTGAAAGTAAAAATTGCAAGTCTATTGTCCTATCAATGGTAAATGGCAGAGATTTTCATTACTTAATTAAGGTGCTGTTTGGTTATTAGAAAGAAAATGAATGGAATGAATTAAAAAAATCAATACAAAAATGAATTAAATCATCCTTCCCCCCATGATAAGTATGATAAAATTTATTAATATATATTATACATATAAGAATCATCACACCCTTTAAAAATTTCAAGAATCATAATTTTCAACTCTAAACTAAACTATCCCTCTTCCTTATGAATGTGGTTTACTATCTCTTTTGATCATCTCATTTTTATCTTATTTTTTCAATCCATTCCATTCTAATAACCAAATTGGACCTTATAAGTGATTTGGAACCAAAAATCTAACTTTTGCATATTTTTAATCAATTGAGAGAGGTCTACTATTTGTTCTAGTATATTTCAAAAGAGAAATAATATCTATTATTGACAAAGCTTATTTTTTGTACACACCAAAAAAATTTGCAATGTCCTTGATGAGTATTCTTTTCGGTCATATTTATAAGGTAGAGAATAAAAAAATTTTAATCTTATTTATTAGTTACACATTTAATTTATCATAATTTTTCTATTTTAGCCTTCGTTACATATTGGTCAGAGAAATGGCTTATTAATTAAAGAATATCTAACAAATTTTTAAATGGAGTTAATGAATTTTAAGATTTTTCTTGGTATTGGTAAAAATATGCATTGAAAATAACTTATAAATAGAATAAGAAAAACACAAAAAGGGAAAAAATGTTAAAAATATGGTACTGTTTTGTCATCTGGATTAAAATATAAGTAAAAATTATAATTTTCTCTCCATCCTACCATCATGTGGACACCCAAGACGAGGGATTTGATACAAGTAAGGACTTGAATAGGTTAATTTGACTACATAAAATAATGTTGAGAATAGCTACTGTTGACAAAGCTGAGCTATCTTCCTTTCATTTGCATGCTCGTGTGGCGGAGTTTCTTCTATACGTGTTTGGTTTTTGAATTTTGTGGTGCTTATTCTTCTGCTCGTGTGGCGGTGCTGTTTTTGATCTATGATGAATCTATCTATTTATGTATGTTCATGACCGTCGTAGGCTTCATTCTTCCAAACTTAAAGCTTTGATTAATTTACCCAGGAAGTTACGCAGCTCTGTTACAATAGTGACTCAACATCTTGGTTCATATTATGTTCTTTATTTTCGCTCCTCTTTGGACGCTGCTTTCATTTTACATCAAGGAACTTGGCTCTTGCAAGTCTACACTCTCTATGGTCTGTGCTGCCTGAATTTGAGGGTCATCATTGCTCTAAAGAAACACTTAAATATCTTCAGCATAAGATTTCAGGCAATGCTAAGTCGGTGGTCATCAACTTTAATGGACTCAACTATTTCAAGCATCTCTCATGTCTAAGTGAAAATTTTCAGCTGACATTTCGGAAGTGTTTTCTCCGCATCGAGCTGTCAAGATGATTAAATTTACCAAGCTAAATCATGGCTCTGAAATTCTTTGGAAACTGCGGTTACAGGGATATTCTCTAGCAACCTTTGTTAGGGTTTTTCTTTTTGCTGAGGCCCTGTAATAGACAAAAACATTGGTCAATTTTTGGTTCGACCTAGAGCAGCAACTCTAACATCTGTCCTACCTTCTTAGGACTCAACATTTGTAGATTTTGGGCTCATTTTTATTCAGATACTTCTCGTGTTCCAATTCGCAAAAGGAAACACGCTCTGTTTTTGGAATCTGGAACGGAGTGCCTTTCTCCTCCTGGGTTTAACGAGGTTTCTGCCAAAAAAACCTCGTTTGTTAGCATGATAATACTGGGGACCTTCATGTTTTGCAGCCACATGGGGGTTTAACGAGGTTTCTTTGCGTCTTTTTCTTTTTTAGTTTGCTTGGCCTATGTCTTATGTTTTGTCTCAGACTCAGGTTGTGTTATTTTTGTTCTTGGATGTATGTTCGTTTCAAAACCGAAGCTTATTTCTATTAATCTTTAGATATTCAAATCCTACGAGATATTTTATGATGAATTGATTCTTGAAAATCAATTCAACCATCTGCTCGCTTAACTTTAATCCAACGATTTTGGCCTGGTCTTTGGACTGGCTTACTTCCTTAATGCGAGCTTTCAAACAAAATATCTGCGTTTTGAAGTATATTCTCATGTCTGTTGGTCCAGGTTTTTTTTTTTTAAAAAAAAAAATCGAGTGAAAGTCTGTTGGCTTTGGTTATGTATGTTCGAGCATGTCATCTTTTTTTTTTTTTGGGAGAATGTAATTAGTTTTCCCCACCTTTCGAGGCCTTTAGATATTCTATTTTAAAAGCTCTTTCGCTGTACTCTTAAATCTCACGCCATTTAACTTTCGATGAGTAAATATCAGTGAGTGTTGAGTAATTTCCTTTGGAATTAATAAAAAGGTTTGAATGTTTAGTCTATAGACATTTTGGTATTAATTATCAAAAACTTGGCCCCTAAACTCTATCAACTTTGCGAATAATGTAGGTGTTTCTCGAGTTCAAATGAAGAAAAACCTTATCCCTAATAATAACTCGCAATAGATGTCATGTGAAATACTAATAAAATATGTTGCAGAAACTCGCAATCATCCCACCCATTTTTCCTCTCCACTTATTTTCGGACAGATCCTCCCCACTAGATCTAGGTTTCACTTGGGACTTGACAGCCCGATATTGCGCACATATTTGAAATCAAAAAGTGAGACCGGCCCTAGCTACAATAGGGATTTGTGTACATCATGCCATTTGAAGCCTTAAGCTGGCCCTAAAATAGGGACTTCGTATTTGGGCGTCTATGAGATAATAGAAAGATTGTAGACTCCCACTTAAAAGGAAAATTGTTAAATTATCAAAGTGTGAGTAGACTTAAAACAATGTAAAAAGTCTCACATTAAATAAAGTTAGGCTTAATAATAAATATAAAATAAAGAGAAATGATGTATAAACTTGAGTTTTAAAATTTTAAGTTAAAATATGGTGTTCTTCCGCAATGTATACTTAGAGTAATCAACAATCAATATACTTTTAAATTATTTTTAATTATCTTACCAAAATTTAAAAATAGTTAAATTATTAATATTATCTAAAAAGAATAAAAAATTTTAAATTTATCTTTATCAGTAAATACATAATCTTTAAAAATATTTTTATATGCAACATTTTATTCTAATCCATATAAAATTAGGAAAAGATAAAATTAATAATATGCTATTTTATACAAAGTAAGTTAGGAAAAGAACCATTAATTTCTTTTAGACAGTGAGTTTTATTATACCTTTCGTTATCTCATGCAAGACATTTTTGTTTTAAAAATTTGACAGTATTATTTAATAAATTAAAAAATAGCTGGTAAGTAAATTTACATATTTATCCTTTTATCTTTTTTGTTTTAAGGCCCATCTTTCTTGGTTTAGCTCTTTTATGTACCGAACGTTTGTTGAATAAAGTTGTTTTGAAGGTTAGTCCACTTCCAATTACTAAGTGGGTGTGACATAAATAATGATTTGGGCCTCTTAAATATCACTTCAGAGGTCAATTCTTAAATGTGTCTATGAAAAATATGAAAAATATTGCTTGGGAGAGGAGTAAAGGCTCAAATTTCTCAAAAAACTATTCACATTATTGCCAGCTACGAGGATACTTTATGATATAAAAAAAAAAAAAGAGGTTAGTCCTACGACGAAGGAGATGGAGGAGACATGCCAGCGGAAGGAGATTCAGGTCGGCGCCGAGGAAGAAGATGGTTCACGAGCATAAGTACACTTTCAGGTTGATTAAAATTGGAAAGCTAAAAATATTTTGACAATAATAATGACTCCAATAACAATCAGGCTAGTTTTTTACAACATGACAAACCTAATGTTTGAATCTTTGTTAAAAAAGATAATTATATTTAGCATCCAATTATACCTCAAATGTGATTGTTTCTATTAAGAGGATACCTAAGAGTAATAAAAAGAATCAATTATAAACACAAAACTATAATTTTTTTAAAAAATATCCAAACACCTGTACATGTCAAAATTAATTAAGATTTCAAAACATATTAATATTCAGTTAATAATCCACAATTTGTCTAGAAAAAAGTTTTCAAATGTAAAATATAAATTCAAATGAGAAAATACAAATTAACGTGTTTGCAGCCTGCACAACAAAGTATAACCATATAGTATACTTTTTGAATAACAATTACTACTACACAATCCCAAAGATCTTGTGTAATTCTGTGCAAAATGCAATGCACAGAAAATTAAACACACACACATTCCACACAGTACATTACAAATATATGCCATCATTAATTATGTAAATTTTGCATTTTATCTTCCACGTTCTCCATTTAGTCTCGGTATATTTTGCGCTTACAGGTTCTTTTTCTTTTTTTAACTTTACCATCAGATCCTTAATCCAAATTAAACGTCACCCAACTTCAAAGGCGGATGCAGAGGATGGAGCTGCCACTGGTAAATTTAGGAAACATTTTGATATTGAGATGCGATCTTGTCGGCATCATTCCCTGCATACCAAGCGTATAGCTTCTGCGGGTCTTCATGAGGCCAAACACGTTCCTTCTTTCCGGCCCTGATCCGATCATCATCTTCGCTCTCGTCACGTCCTTCAATTGATCGCTTATCTGTAACAACCCACCTGGTTGCATCCGCCCATCTTCGCCTATGTGTAACCACCCATCCTTGAAGAACCGATCGGACTTGTCCATATCTTTCAAGTAGCCCAACATGAGTGAATTGCCCCGAAAAACCACTTTTCCCTGGGTCAACCCGTCGCGTTCCAAGCTTTTACCCGTATCCGGATCCACCACATCCATCTCCGCCAGCCCGATTGTTCTCGTCCCTAGCCGCGCCTCCTGCTCGGAGTTCCACGTGCATGAAATCACCAACCCTCCTGTTTCTATTGACCCGTAGCCGTAACTGACCACAAACCCTAATTCTTCCGCTCGGCGTAACACTGCTTCTTGTGGCAGTTTTTCTGCTGCTGCTCCTGCTGTGAGGACTTGGACGGGCATTTTTAGACGCTCTGTTTTCTGGGAGTTTGTTATGATCATGTTGAGTGTTTCCGGTTCAGCGCACATGTGTGTGACACCATGGCTCTTGATCAGAGAGTATACGTCGGAGGAATTGATGCGACGGACGCAGATATTGGTTCCTCCCACGGCCGCAATTCCCCATGGGAAGCTCCAACAAATATCGTCGTTCTTATACAGCGTCGACCACAGGAAGACTGGTTTTTTGGGAACGGCCCACTCGATCAGGAAATTGACGGTGGTCGTGAAAATCCCCCGGTGGCAATGAACCACCCCTTTGGAAGTCCCCGGTGCAACCATGGTGTAAGTCAAAGTCATCGGATCCCACTCACTATTGGGTCTGATCCACTGGAAATTCGGGTCACCGCTCGCTACCAACCCCTCGTACGTATGGGAGAATCCATCTGATGATTTGGGTTCGACTGAGTCATCAGTGATGTGGACGAGGATAGGCCGTGGAGTCTCTGGAGGCAGCTTGGAGATGGCCTTGAGGACCTGAGAGCTTGAGGCGCAATCGACAAACACGAGCTTAGGTTTAGCTTGGCGGAGGATGACGGTGAGAGCGTGAGCATCATGGAGGAAGTAGTTAATGTTGTTGAGGACGGCGCCGGTGAAGGGAACTGCGAACTGGAGCTCGTACACAGCAGGGATGTTTGGGGCGACGACGGAGACGATATCTCCACGACGGATTCCGAGAGAGGAGAGAGAGGAAGCTAGTTGGAGACAACGACGGTGGGTTTCGGACCAAGTGAAGGTGATGTGATTGCAGATGATAGAAGTGCAGTCACCGTAGAGGGTGGCAGCTCTATCGAGGAGGCCTAAAGGGGTGAGAGGAGGAGAGTTTGCAGAGTTTGGCTTGAGATGTTCCATGTCGACGATGAAGATAACAAGGACTTGCACTGATGGCTGCAGGCATATGATAGAACTGGCAGTATTTATACAAGATCAAAAGAGGTTCCGATGTATAAAATTTATAATTATAAAATAAAATATACAATCCTGATTATAATTAATCTGAAGCTGACGTGTTCATTCTAATAAAGGTGATGATTTCACCAAAAATGAAAAATAAACATGATGAGATTGAACGCGGGGATGTATAGATAGACGAAAGAGTCAGTTCAGGGGCAAATTAACTAGAATTGGAATATAAATACATGATTAATGTACTAACCAGAGTTGGAAGATATATGCTCGCTTCTTCAAGTTGTCTTGGTCAAAGACACGGAGAGAATGTCCTATGTGTGATATAATATTTTTCCTGAACTTTTTTCCAAAAGCACTGGACACTCAAAAATTGAAAAAAGTGGTATAATATCACCCTTCATGTATTAAAAAAATAGAGTTATATCGCCCCTCCGTTAAATATCCGTTAAGTTGACAATGTTAGTTGATTAAAAGATTACAGAGAATGACTTAAAAAATTATAGAAAATGATTAAAAAATTATAAAAAAGTATCTTATAAGAAAAACAATACTAGTTAAGTCCTTTTGATTACAACTAAATTCTAATAGATTAATGTTATTTTTATTTATATGAGAATATCATTTTAACCAACTATTTTGATCAACTATCAGGTGGTATGGAATCAGTTATTATACTTTTAATAAAAATCTTGTTGAATATTGTTATTTATAAATATTCATCAAAAATTTATAAATTATCTTTTAAATATTAATAGCTCAACTAATTTTTCTAAAATTTATAGGAGATTTGTAAATTAAAATAAGGTTAAAGTGTAAAAATACTCAGAAACTTTTTGTCCTAGAGCCTTTGGTACTTCCTTAGTGCCAAATTACAAGATAATTTGAAACAAGATTACACATATTAATAACACACAACAATGACACTTTACCAACTAATTACTTTTTCAAAACCAAACTATAAATTAAACTTTCAAAAATGAACCTACTAACTTTATAAAAATATTAAACATTATGCTTGAAAGGTAATATTGGATAAATGTCATTAATAAAACCTTAGTTTGATTAAATTGTCTTATATATTGGGACACAAAATTCCTCCAACATTGTCACATAATTTGGGATGGGGGAATATCATTAAATCAACAATGGTGCATGGGTAGGTATTTATTAACTTTATAAAAAAAAAAAGGCCAACCTTCCTCATTAATCCATTAAAATAGTATAACATTGACCTTTAAGCTCTAAGCAAAGAATTTAATGGATTGGGGTTAGCCTCTTTTATGAAGTTAATGGGTTACCAATTCATGCACTATTATTGAATTAAAGATACCATAAACTCCTAGAGAAATTTTTTTTTGGATACTTTTGTACCTTAATCCATTAAAATAATATGGTAAATTATAAGTCTTCCTCTAAAATTAATAAGTCCTCTTTCATAAATTTGTATATTAATAAGCCCCCCCTTTTTTTGCCAACTAATGAGCCCTCTTTAATAAGGCCTAGTTTAACTCTGTTTTCTCTTCCTAAGGATGATTTACTCAGGATTGTGAGCCAAGAGGGTCCGTGTATGGATGACATCCGGGTTACTTAGGTAGCTTTGCCTACCTCTTTCTTATTTAAAACAAAAAACAAAAAGAACAATGGTGATATGATAATCATCTGACAATCCGTCAAAATAGTTGTTAAAATGATATTTCTTACTTTATATGGCAATCAGTTAAAATAACATTAGTCTATAAGAACTAATTGTAATTTAAGTGACTTAATCAATATTAATTTTATTATAAGAGCCTTTTCTGTATTTTTTTATCCTTTTTTGTAATTTATTAAGCCCTTCTCATTAATTTTTAGATCAACTATCGATCAAATTAATAGAAATTTAATAGAAGGGTGATATTGCTCCATTTTTAAATATATGTAGAATAATATTGCACCGCCTTTGATTTTAAGATGCCCAGGGCTCTTAAAAAAAAGTTCAAGGATAAATTAATTTCACTTTAACCCTATTTATAATTATAATATATATATACACTCAAATAAAAATTAAACTAATGCTTTTTATGTAAAATCTTTAATTTTTAAACACATAATTAGCATATATTTAACTTTAAGGTAGAGCTATCATGATATTTATAACTAATTTAATAATAAAAGATGTTATGGAAGAAAAAGATCAATCTTGACTATATAAAAACTCAAAAGGGCTATGTAAGAAAACCTCATAGATATGAGATTTCATAAATCATTAAATCTCAAAATTGAGTTTAAAAGGTCATTTAGCCATTATAAATTAGAGTAAAAAGTTTTTGGGAAGCATGAAAAATAATTAAAATTGAAAACAAGTCAAAATGAGAACTATAAATAAGAGTCAATTCAAGCACAAGATATAAAGGGAAGAATGTAGGCCAATTATCATTGGGAAACTGATAATTAAGGACCTCTTAAGATTATTAATTTCAACTAAGGACTATAAAATATTAAAATCTCAATTAAGGATCATGGTTCTTACTTGGAATAAAAACATACATAACTTTACAAATTTCCCTCCACTAAAATGTAGATAACAGCTTATGGCTTTGGGCGTGAAAAATCTTTTCCACCAAAATGCTTACTACTCTCGTTGCCTTCAATCCTAGTCTTCAATGGAGTGATTCATCATCTTCTCCCTTCTTGGTAATCTATAAGTACATGCATCGCTTCTTTTTCTTGACTTTTACATTTTTTCCTCTCCTCTGTTTTTGTTATCAGACCATTGTAATTGCCTATAGTGTATGGAAAATAAATGCTCCATTTTACACTATTTCTCTTGTATAGCTAGGAAAAAAAAGTAATGTTGTTGATGATTATATAAATATATATATATATATATATATATATATATATCCAAGAAAATATGAGAGCATTGTGATTTGTCATGAAGACAGTGTTGAAAAAAATTGGGCGAAAGAAAGAACTATATTATTTCTTATTGTCATGTTGCAAAATTTTTCTTTTCTATGATTAAAAGTGCGCTAATGTTGAAAGATGTAATATAGATATTGAATTGTTGAAGTCATAATTAGGATTACTGAAAGGATAGTTGTGAAGTAATGAATTTGTATGTTGCTTTTGGTTGTTCTAGGTTTAATTCTCATGTGGTAAGTATTTTAGCAAAAGAAGTATTGTATTATTTTCACATAGGTGGGAGATCAATTTTAAAATTGATTAGAAAATGCATAAATCATCAAGAGTTGTTGAGGATGACTTTTGTATGGACACCCACGATATATATATATATATATTGTACTTGTAGTTGTGATTAGTTATATAAATAAGTTTGTGGTCTAAGTAGTTTTTTGGAAAGTAAATTACATAACTACCATTTCGATTGATGGTAGGAGGGGATATTTTTGCGTAAAAAAGAACACAAATAATGTGTATATGTATTGAAATCAGTGTAATGTAATGTTAATGTTTATTTTAGATTTAAATATATGCAACTGTAAATATTTTGATAACATAACACAGCTAAAATTACTATCATGGTATGATAATATTGTCAATGTCAATTGAAAAAATAAAGAACCACACTTGGGAAGGAATTGTTTCCCAGTATGAAAGAAACTCAATTTTGAAAAGTTTCAAGATCACTTATAAATATATAAAAGTAACTTAAGAATTTACTAACTTTACTTAAGAATATGAACCTAATAACTTTTTGAATTTCATGTTTGTTTATATAAAGCAAACCACTTGGAAAATAAAAACATAATACAACTGAATTCACTATCGTGACATAAGAATATTGATAATATCAATTGATAATATCAATTGGGAAACAAAGAACTACACTTCAAAATAAATTGTTTTTCAGTATGAAAGAATTGACTTTTGAAACATTCTAATGTCACTTATGAATATACAAAAGTGACATGTGAATTTACTAACTTCACTCAAGAACATGAACCCAATGACTTGTCAAATTTCATACTTATTAATATATAGTTAGATCACTTGAAAAATAAAAATATAACATTGCTAAAATCACTATCGTGGTATGGGAATTTTAACATGGAAATAAAGGTATCACACTGAGAATTTACCCAAGTAATTTGGAAAATCAAGATAAACCGCTGCTGAATAAAATAAGAATCACTTGGACATTTAACAAAAATACTTAGGATTAAGTGCTGTATCATGTACATTGAGCAGCATAAAACACTTAACTGCACAAAGTTTTGATTTACATCATATATATAATAAAATCATCACTTGTGAAAGTACATATACATTTGTCCAATCTATGCTTTCAATCTTTTTGCTCCTTTAGGCCTAGCATTTGAAATAGATGTCCTAACTTGTAAGGCTACTTTATTGTATGGATGAGTCACTAGTCAATACAATAGTTCAGATTTCAGTTTACCCAATTGTTCCTAAACAATTAGAGCAAGTCAATGAATAAATAGACAATAACAATAAAATTGTATTGTCTAGAAATTTTATTTGTCACTCTTTCAACTGACCTTTGTTAATGGAGGCATGGTATGACTGCCCCATTTCTTTTGTGCAATATTATTCCATTGTTTAAGGAAAATGATATTATACATGCCAAAATCACCTCTATGTAAAAAATTTTCAAGATAAAATTTGTAAACATAGGTAAAAAAAACAAATTACTATTAAATTGACCTTATATCAAACTTGAAATTTTCCTAAATCGTCATATAAATATAGTGAAATTAAATTATAAAATAGTAGCTATCTAACAAGTGCTTGTCAAGTTGAATATATAGAAGGGGAATAAGCTAAGAAAAGAAGAGAGGCATGTGAAAATGGCCTGATAACAAAGACAGAGAAGAGGGAAAAATGTAAAAGTTAGAAAAAGAAGCAATGCATGTACTTATAGATTATCAAATGGGAGAAGATGATGATCCAGATAATGATCAACTCTACTAAAGACTAAGATTGAAGGTGACAAGAGCAGCAAGCA